TGACTGATTGATTGATTGATTGATTGATTGATTGATTGATTGATTGATTGATTGATTGATTGACTGATTGATTGATTGATTGATTGATTGATTGAATAATTGATCGATTGAATGATTGATTGATTGATTGATTGATTAACTGACTGACTGACTTAATGATGGCCCTGTCCTCAAGTGAAAACTTTCCATATAATATTTTCATACCTGAAATGTCATTAGCTACTTCAGAGCTAAAAAGTTCAAAATCATATGTAGATAACATCCAGGCACAGATACAATCGATAGTTTTTGATTCCTAGAAGCACATAAAAACAAAGTCAACACCATGATTTTTACACGTCAGGAAGCCCAGCATCAAGGACTGTCTAAACTAAAAAGTCACTTACTTCATAACAAGCAGCAAGAACTGCAAACAAAGGCCGATGAAGAGCAATAGCATGTGCAAGAAGAGATCTCCAAGGAATTTTAGCATCGTTACAAGCAAATAGCACTTCAAAGAAATCGTCTGGTAACTTGTCAGGATCAAGTGGGCGTTCTGAATATTATTATACAGAGAGATTAAGGGTCAAACTAGAGAGAGTTTCAGTTGTGGCAGGGTACTGACACATTGCTACAGAACTAGATGAATACATGAAAATTTCCACTGAAAAATGGATGAATTAAGGGATGAATGAAAGATCAATTGCACAAATGAGGCAAAAATTAGAAAAATGGATGAATGGAAGGATGAATGAAAGATCAATTACACAAATGAGGGAAAAATTAGACAAAAGCAAAAATGAAAAAGCAACTGGATGGATAGATGACCAATTGAATAAATGACTAATTGAATTAATGAGAATGGACTTGACAAATGAAGGAAAAACTGACTCTATAATTATATATTTATATATAACATATATCCTCCACTCATAGCTCACCATGTATATCATTAGAACATTTAACCCCAGTGCTCTCATCTGCTGCTGTGACTGTACCATCTGTTGCACTACCAGAATCACCACCTTTAAGTTGTTGCTCTTTAGATTTGTCATCAGTTTCTTCACTACTACTTTGATGTCCAGCAAGAGAGTCTTTCCCTTGCTTGTTTAGCCCCATTCGAGC